AAATTCCAGTAAATAGTAAACAGAATGAAACAGACTACCTACCTTTTGTTTACAAACATCCAAACAAACATAGCAAGCAAGTTGATCAAAGGTTTGCTTTACATGCTTTTATAGAAGAGCTGTAAAAAGCTCATTTTTGTAAAGGTATGCGAATATACATTTTTCTCTCCCGTACCGTGATTTAAAGCATTTTCTAAGAATGATAAAGAAACTGTTTTTGCTAATGACGGTTATTATGAAATATGGAAAAATTATGTAAAAAAAATGTTGCCTAGCTTAATTCCATTTCTCCGATCGCTTCGGCTGTTTATTTTTGCTTTTGGCTTCTTGTTGCGCCAAAGCGTTTTAAGCATTTTACTGCCAACACTTTTTATCTCGAAACTACCAGAAGAAACTTATTCTAAAAACACACTTGGAATGCATTCAAATTCCGTTTATTTTCGGACATATTCAGAAGTAAGGTCACTAAAATTTCTTTGTTTATTGATGTGACTGATGGGCGTGTTATATTTGCACGCAGTAGGAATATTTTGTTAGTTTGCGCGTATTTATTTCACAGGTAACATAAGATGTATCATGATAAACATGCAGAAAATTATAAAGTTCGGAAAACAAATCAAAATGGAAATAATGTTCAATATTGGTTTTTAATATTTTAGGTCATAAGTATTTGATCAATTATTTTATCAATGCACAATTCAGTCAGAACTGTATTTCTATATACAAGGCTTTCAATTACACTCAGGCGATAGTTGGTGTTGCAAAATTCAGAAACTTGAAGTGACCTCTGAATATAAAAACAACGAGATCAAAGTAAAAATGTCTTTGGGCATGCCTTACTTTAGGAAAGGCTCGACGTACTACAAACGACCAGGAACCATTCATAATTTATTAAGCACATACATCTATTTCTGGCAACTGTCTTGAAACTTAAATAACTGCATATTTTTTTATTTTTTCTTTGGTTGGCAGATTTTATCAAATTTGTTTTTTAAGTAGTGTATTACGATGAACATATTTTAAAAGCAATATCGGCAGTCTTTCGAGATGAGCACCGTGTAGATTACACCCTAAAACGGAAGCCCTGTATTACTTATCTGTGGATGTATGTATGGTTGAAACCCCTCTACTCGGTTGGATTGACAGTAAACCTTACAAATGCAATGAATATTTGAAAACGAACTTTTTCGGGATGCATTTTAAGTAATTAAAACACATTCCTTTCCGTCATGTTTGAAGATGAAATAAGCTTGATAGAAAGATTTACATCAATATGAAATGTATGTTTAATTTCCATTTCAAACGCAGTTGTGAATACATATCTTAATCTAGATGAACATCATTTTATTTAATAATCTTTGCTTTTAAGTACAGAGATTGCGATGGTAATTTATGGTATTCAAAATAATCAGACTGTAATAAAATGCTGTCTTTAAATTTCATGCAAAATAGCAGAAAAGCTAAGGAATAATGCAGAAAATGTCTTTAATCTTTTTTAAAACTCATTTAGAACAATTTTTATATCCATTACAGATATCGAACAATGGTACAGCTTTGTAAGAAGTAGAAATGGAGATTTAACGGCACGCAGACACAAAAAAGTGCAGCAGAGATGTCCGTTTTGGTTACTGCATTTTAAATGCTTAAAAGAGAGGCGAAATATACCAAAGGGATATTCAAACTCATAATTCGAAAACACACTGACAATGCCATGGCAGTAAACGATAAACGATGAAAAGACAAACAGTACACAACACACAACATAGAAAACTAAAAACTGAGCAACAAGAACCCACCAAAAAAACGGGAGTGGTCTCAGGTGCTCCGGAAGGGTGAGCCGACCCTGCTCCACATTTGACACCCGTCGTGTTATTCGTATAAGTAAAACCCCGATGATAAGTCTGATTCGGTAGGTCACATTCGAGGAAAGAGGAAAAAAGGGTAAAGGTACAAATTGTACTTCACCTGATGAGCATTTCGACAATTAATGTATCGTCAGTGATGTTCGAGGCTTTATTCACTAAAGTTTTTGGGTAAGAACACCAGTTACTTGTGCTTTTTACGAGAAGTTTTGTCATCTTATTTTTACATTTAAAGACCAATAGTTTTTTTTTTCGAGCGAATCTAAGTCAACGTGAATATTACTTTAATGGTCACTCATAAAGAAGAATGAAAAGGACACTGATTCTTTTAAAACACGATATTGTGGTGTTGTTTTTCTTGTACTTTCGTTGTTGTTATTTATTGTATACTGCCTTTCTATTGTTCGTTCTTTTATGTGACCTTTGTTATATGTCTTTTTGAGATTAAAAGGGGAATTGCTGATATCTCAAAAACTAATTTAATACCGATACATGTCCCATGTCCATGTGCCTTTGTTCCGTTAGATTTACAAGAAACCCCTTAAAAATGTAATCCGATTAAAGAAATATTTGAAAACTAGCTTTGTCGGAATGAATTTTAAGAAATAAAAACAATTCCTTTCCACCGTGTTGGAAGATGAAATAAACTTGATAGAAAGATATAAATTCATATGGAATTTATGGTTAATTTCCATTTCAAATGCAGTTTTGAATACATATATATCTTAATCCATGTGAACACTATTTGATTTAATAAGATTTGCTTTATAATGACAAAGATTGCGATGGTAATCTGTGGAAGTCATATTCTTTAAACTGTATGCAAAAAAGGCAGAATATCTTAGAACAATGCAGAAACTGTCTTTGATCTTTTTTTTTTAATCATTTAGAACAAGTTTTACATCCAGTACATATGAACATAGGTCCAACTTAGTATGAAATCCAAAGTACAGTTAATAGAAATTAATGCGTGAAATAATAAGGATCTTCTACTGCAGGAATATATTCACCTTAGCTGTATTTGGCAAAACCTTTCGAAATTGTGGGTCCTCATGCAATGCTCTTCAACTTCGTACTTTATTTGGCCTTTTTACCTTTGTTTGATTCGAGCGTCACTGATGAGTTTTTTGTAGATGGAACGCGCGTCTGGCGTACACAATTTTTATTTTTGGTATCTACGATGAGTTAATTATTATTGCGAATCACTGATCATTGGTAAAAATGCGAGATCTTATCAATGCGATTGCAAGAATTTATTGAAGAAAAAGCACTACTCAAATCATGAATGCGAGTGTTTACTATTGCGAGCCTGATATTGTCGCTTTTTCGCATTAAAACAAATATCGTAATAATTTCTGAATTTACAATAGATATGCAGATTTAACAGCACGACGATATAAACAGGTGAAATAGAGTGGTCCGTTTTTTTTTAATGTATTACATTCTACATGCTTAAAGGTACAGATTGTACTGCACCAGGTAAGCATTTCGACAATTAATGTTACTTCCGTGATGTTCGTGGCCAAAATATTTGAAAATTCAAACCTAGTACAAACATTGAAGAGCTGATCGATAAAACAAAAAAGACCAACATTATAGCCAAACTCGAAAAGGAATCAGAGTGATACATGAGGGAGATACATTCTTTAGGAGACGACCATTTAATTTTCGGGGAGGGGGGGGGGGGGGCAATAGTTTTTTATCGGGCGGGTTTATTTATTTTCTCCTTTTGCCAGGTAGGACTATTTATTTCGCGTGGCATTTATTACCACTTTTGTACAAAATTATTTTCTGTATTATACCGGGGTATTTTACAGAATATTCATTTCCATCCTGTATTGGGCAAAATTATAATTTTGTCAGTTTCTACCAAGGCATATTACCAGGCCAGGATATTCATTCATAGATCCTCTTGCAACCCCAGTCCACCCCCTCCCCGAGAATCAAATAGTAGTCGTCCCCTAAGCTTTAAATGAATCTAAAAATTGTATCACTGCAAATTTCAATAAAACAATACCCGTATTTAAATGCCAGAACTGACGTTTTAACTACCGGTCTGGTTATAACCTCGAGGTCTGACAGTGTGTCAGAGTTATCGATCAAATGGTAGTCATAACATTACCGGTCTCAATTTCACTACACCAGATGTTTTTTTCGGCAATTAATGACTCTTCAGTGACAGTCGAGTTAAAAAAAAAAGGAAAATCCAAAACCAAATAAAAACGTTGAAGAGCCGATATAACAAAAAAAAGGACAAAAAAGTTTATATTAGTAGCTAAACCCAAGCAAGTAATTAGAGCTATGCATACGGGAGATACATTCCTAAGTTGAAAATAATTTTAAAACAATTTTTACAATGCCCATATTTTCATGCCAGTACAGAAGTTAAAGCTACTGGGCTGGTGATATCATCATGGACGAACAGTCCTCCGGGAGAGATATCGACCAAGTGTTAGTTATAACATTAACGGTAAACAATCTTGCAGCACCAGATGAGCATTTCGACAATTAATGTCTCTTCAGTGATGACCGTGACCAAGAAATTTGAAAATCCAAGACTACAAATGGTGAAGTTGAAATCATCCCTTCGTAAATTTTACGGACGCCATCACGAGTTGGGTGACCGTTATGGAATAACCGTTTCACAGATGATATCGGATATGTTCCCTATGTCGTAACTACAATACCCTTCCCTTTCACGAATGTGACCTACCGAATAAGACTATTTACCGGATTTGTAATAACATAAGCAACACGACGGGTGCCACATGTGGAGCAGGATCTGCTTACCCTTCCGAAGCACCTGAGATCACCCCCAGTTTTTGGTGGGGTTCGTGTTGCTTAGTCTTTAGTTTTCTTTGTTGTGTCATCTGTACTATTATTTGTCTGTTTGTCTTTTTATTTTTGGCTATGGCGTTGTCAGTTTGTTTTCGATCTATGAGTTTGACTGTCCCTCTGGTATCTTTAGTCCCTCTTCTATTACAAACGTTGAAGAGCTGATTATACCAAAAATAGTCAGAAGTAATGTCAAACCGGACAAGGAATCAGAATTATGCATAAGGGAATACCATTCCTTATTTCAAAACTGGTTTGCAAAATAACGGATCATATAGGCTTAGATGAAATAAACAAAATCAATGAAATATAATTGGTGTATTTAGGAAACTGTTTGTGAACTGGTTAAACATGGATAATCATTACGTAGAATTATAATTTCCATGGTTTTATTTTATTGTGATCGTCACAACAACATGGTTAATTGTGAACATTTTCAAAATTTCTCCCATTGATAAATGCCGATATATTTATGATTTAGAACAGAAGAGTAAAGAAATAGAGGTTAATTGGAAATATTTTATATAATAATGTGGCATATTACATTCTTCAACAATAAACCTTTTAAATTAAAGGCAGTTAAAGATAAAAGCATACACTGAATAATCAAATGAGGAATAGCCATAAATAACAATTTTTTTATACAGAATTCTTAACATGCATTTTAGGCTTTCATTTTCGTGTAATTATCAGTTGTTGGACTTCTTTTACGGGAGAGAATATAAACGAAAAAACCTATAAAAATTACAAAAGAGAACGTGATCCCAACTGAGCCACCAACTACTCCAAGAATCTGTTCAGTTGATATTTGTTCGGAGTCATTTTGTTTTTCTTTTCCATTTTTTTCTTGTGTTTCTGTCGATCTAAACAAACCACTGTTCTTATCTGGAATATCTCCGTTTGCTTTTTGTCTCGCCATCAGAAGTTCATTATTGTCAAGAAAATCACCACTATCTACAATCCAGCTGGTATTAGTTCCATTGAAACCGTTAAATCCCTCTGGAACTGAATAGATCTGCGTCCAGCTTTGACCATCTTCGCTAATGACGTGAATTGATGAGATATTTTGGCCTGACGGTTTTCGCATGAAAGGTGGACTTCTTATAGGTATGTATGCAGTTGCAGCGGATTTTTGCGTAGCACAATAATTAATCTCGCATTCGTTTACGATTGTTGCTAAGTGTTCACTGTACCCAGCCTGACAATGAGTGGCGTTCTGTTTTGCGGCTAACGAATTGTCATCTTGACAACTAAAAAAACCACCAAACGGGATTGAATATTGGAATCCATTTTCAATATCATCTGATACACAAATTTTCAAATCTTCTGCGAGTCCAATAGCAGTGAAGTACTGTGGACAACTCTGGTGTTGCGTAACGACGTTTGGTAGTTGAGTTGTATACAGGCCCCCAAACAAGTATCCCGGGAATCTTTGATTTCCTCCTTGGGGAGAGCACCAATATGACTGATAGCTTGCTGTTCCAAGGTTCGAAGTTGTTTCGCAGTGTTTCCAGAAGATCATATATTTTGAACATGTTCGATGCACTTCCTGTTTGTTATCATGTCCCAAATACAATGGTACCGCTACGAAACCGGTCGGACAAGAAAAATCTCCAGTCAACGGATTTTTGCTTAAAAATGTATTACATATCCCATTGATGTTCCCAGTTGCATTGCATGTTTGGAATACTCCACCAAAATTAGTATTAGTAATGGTGAGGTTATATTCACAAGTTCCATCATCGACATTCGCTAGGTAATTGTAGTTTGGAGAATCCCTGTTCGTACATCCGCGATGAGTATTCAATTTGTAATAGGTTTTAATGGCACTTTCTACAACAGCGGCTGTATCAGTAACAATGGAAATCGACAGTTCTGGGAACGAGTATTCGTTAATGATGAAATGCAGTGGATACCCTGATCGGTCTACTGACACCAAGTTCTGATCTATTTGACTGACCCAGTCGTTGATTGTAAAGTTTACGGGTAAATATAAAGGACCACCATGTGTACGAATCGAAGAATGTGTCTTTGATGCGAGGTATTTTGTCATGACTTCAGCGGGGATTGTAATTCCAACTTGTATACCGAAAAGCTCGGCTCCTGCAGCAGCGGATATTTGAAATTTATCGATTGTATCGTCCTGCAGTAGGTCTCGTTTAACATGGTCTACTTTTACTATCGATGCTCCACTGTCAATACTAGTAATCACATGTGTACCAAAGTCTCTTACTAGTAACTGGCTCTCATATCTTGCAGTTGATGTTCGATTATTCAATATATGATTGGCTATGCTCATTACTTTTGATTTGAAGGACGGATCTAAATTGACATCTGGTTGAAGTTTGGCATTGTATTGGACGTAGTGAGCTTTAACCTTCATTGCAATTGAATTATCATTGATCATGTTACTCTTAAACTTTTGAAAATCAAATGAAAATTTACCGTTTATTGGAATATCATCAACAGCTATACTTCCGTCTAGGTTAATTGAGACTGCAATGTCTGATGTTGCGTTTTCGACGTGTTCGATAAATTGAGAGTATCTCTCGACGTTACTTGACCTTATAGGAATGACATTGACGTTGTCAGGAATAAGAAAAACGCCATCGTCCGTCATCTGACATGTCGAGTATATAAACTGGACGACCTTTCCTCGGTTTTCATTCCTCAAATTGTCCCAGCCACTGCCCGGTAAAACTTCATATTGGTACACAGTAGAATTGTTATTTTGGCATTCCCTAGGAATTATCTGACAAAGATTTGGAACAATCAGAGCAAATAGTGCAGTCAGGAAAATATCTGCTCTCACCATTTTTGATTACCAATATATAATTGTTTATTAATGTTTATCATCACAGTTTATAGTGCAGGGTGGTTTGATAGTGGTATATATTACCGTTACTTTATCTTCTTTTATCAGTATGTCCAAATTTCATTTCGTTTGCTGTGAATGTGGATATTCAGGGGATCTAACTTAAAAGTGACACAAAATAAAAAGAAGTTTGATGAAGGACATAAGAAATCAATGAAAATTCAATCTGTTATATACATGTATGTTATTTCTTAGCATTATATTTGGGTTTTTTTTACCTATTCATCTGGTCATTTAGTTCATTTTCCTTCTTTTCAGTTGGAAGATTCACCCTAAAGTTTCCCCTGTTTCAAATCTCTACGCTCTATATATCACAGTTGACTTAAATTTGTAAATATTATTCATATCTTAATAATAAATAAAAACACGTGGATGAATATGACTAAGAACATTTGGTCTAATTATAAACTGAAATCTAGATTACCAATTTCCAATGATTGCACATGTTATAACAACTATAGAAAAAAAAAGAAAATACCCCCGTCCCCCTTCAAAAAAACCAAACAAACAAAACATACAAACCAACAGCACAAAACAATGAAGAAAAAAAAGAAAAAAGCAACTACAAATAAACAAAAAATGTAAATCAAACAAACAAACAAGACAAAATGTGAAAAAAAAACATTTTACATTTAAAGACTTATTGTTTTTCGAGCGAATCTAGGACAGACTTTACACTTTTTCAATGGTCACTCAAGTTGAATGAAAAAAAAACACGGTATTGTGTTGGTTTCTTTGCTTGTACTTGTCTTGTTGAAATTAATTGTATACTGCTTTCCTTTTAGACTGATTTTGATTCTACGTTCATATACTTATTGCACTTCTCGAGATAAAATATTTGATACCGATACGTGCCCATTTGCCTTTTTAAGTCTAATACATTATAAAGCAAAAAAAAAGTAAAGTTCTTTAGCAATAGTAAAATTGATGTAAAGCGGGAACTAATTAAGTGCTGAATTAAATCGAAAGCTTGCTGTTTTTCTGTGTGATAATGAGAAACCAGCACATACGTATAATAAGTTTTAGCTTGATGGAATATCTTTTATGGTATATGTTTATCTTATTTACAACTTTTATAGACATGGTGTCAATTTTGAACTTGGTATAATGCGTAGACATTGCTTCTGTCTAGCGTTGTAGATTTCAAGGGGTCTTTTGCTTCTTTATATCGTAATGTTGGCTTGCTGTCTCATAAACGTGTATCCCGTGTCTACTTTTATCCATACCCAAAAGAAATATACATTTTGTTTGTTTGTTTGGAGCCCATTTGTTTCAAAAGTTTTTTAATTAAGTTACTAGACACAAACCAGGCACTACCTGTAAACAATATATTTGTATACGATAAGTAAGCAAAGGTCATGTTATATTTTGTATACAAGTAGTTGATTAAAATGGATTTACTACCAAAATCATTATTATTACATGCAAATGTCTTGAATAATCGTTAGTGAGGATGCGCAAATTTCTTCGAGTTGTCCCATCCAAAAAAGGTGATAAACAATCAAATAAATATAAATTTTGGTTAATATGAATATTACAATAAACATTTAATTTACTTCTTAAATTTAAAAAAAAAACATAAATTTTTCGTTGAAAAATAAGAAACAAATAAAAAAAAAACTAAGATTCCAACTCCTTCGTGCACAGTTGATATTAAAAGCGTTTGGCTGTTCTTGTATGCCCCTTCGGTAATGAAGCTCCTCCAGGATTTATACATCCTTGATATTCGAATATTTTAGTGAAACTGATGAAGAAAATCCAGAAAAACGCTTCGGACAAACCAACTACAAAAATTGTAATTTATCTTTATTGGTAATTACCATTTGATCAACATTCAAGCAATCATTGTAATCTGTGTTTAAACAATTTTCACACGTGTAGCAGGACAGCTCAATCCAGTGTCAAGGTCGACAAATTTTGATCGACCCGTTTCTATTTCCGCTCAAACATATTCTGAGCACATTCTGATATCGTTATTTCATTTTATCTTTGTTTGGAAAGGCTCTGGTTTCAAAGTCTTACACATTTTGGTCGACCTGTTTCTATTTCTACTCAAACATATTCTGAGGGAGTTGGAACCTTAGTTTTTTAATAATACATTTGAACCATTGGCATACAGTTCAATATAAAACCTACTGTCTTTTGTGTTTGCGTCGTTTGGTTTCTGACTTATTGACGTATGCCTACATCTCCTTTTATTCATATGCTTTTAGTTTCGAGTCTTATGGTAGATTACAACACAAAAATTTAAATGTTTCAGCTCACTAGTTTGCCACATCTTAAAATTAAGCCCGTTATATTTGATTACTTGTTTTGTATGATTGTAGGATTTCTTGATGTCTCCAATAATAACTCTTTGGGTTTGAAAAGTAGTAACACGACAGATGTAACTTTAGGAACAGGAGCTGCTAACCTTTCGGAAACACCAGTTTTAGTCCTTATTTTTAAGTGGGGTCGTGTAGAAGCAGGAGATGCTTACCGTTCCGTAGCAGCTGTTTTCACCCTCAGTATTAAGAGGAGTTCGTGTAGATGTAGTTGCTTTATACACTTCCGGATCACCGGTGTTCACTCTGAGTTTTAATTAGGGTTCGTGTAGAAGCATGTGCTGCTTTCCCTTCTGGAGCACATTTTTCCACGCTCAGTTGGTCCATCTAGAAGCAGGAGCTGCTTACCCTTCAAAAGCACCTTTTTCACTCTCAGTTTTGCAGGAGGGTTCGTGTAGAAGCAGGAGCTGATTCCCCTTTCAGAGCAACTGTTTTCATCCGCGGTATCAAGTGGCGTTCGTGTAGAAGCAGGAGCTGCTTACCCTGTAAGAGCACCTGTTATCACCGTCGGTATTAAGAGGAGTTCGTGTAAACGCAGGAGCTACTTTCCTTCGAGGGCAACTGTTTTCACCTTCGGTATTAAGTGGAGCTCGTGTAAAAGCAGGAGCTACTTTCCTTCGAGGGCAACTGTTTTCACCATTGGTATTAAGAAGCAGTCGTGTAGAAGCAGTTGCTGCATACACTTCCGGAGCAGCTGTTTTTACATTCAGGTTAAAATGGGGTTCGTGTAGAAGCAGAAGCAGCTCACACTACCTGAGCATATGTTTTTACTCTCAGTTTTAAGTTGGATTTGTGCATGTAGCTGCTTACCCTTCCAAAGCACCTTTTTTCACTCTCAGTTTTTCAGCAGGGTTTGTGTAGAAGCAGAAGCAGCTCACACTACCTGAGCATATGTTTTTACTCTCAGTTTTAAGTTGGATTTGTGCATGTAGCTGCTTACCCTTCCAAAGCACCTTTTTTCACTCAGTTTTTCAGCAGGGTTTGTGTAGAAGCAAGAGTTGATTACCCTTCCAGAGCTACTGTTTTCATCAGCGGTATTAAGTGGCGATCGTGTAGAAGCCGGAGCTGCTTACCCTTTAAGAGCACCTGTTTTCACCCTCTGTATTAAGTGGGAGTTCGTGTAAAAGCAGGAGCTGCTTATTCTTCGAGAGCAACTGTTTTCATCCTCGGTATTAAGTGGCGACCGTGTAGAAGCCGGAGCTGCTTACCCTTTAAGAGCACCTGTTTTCACCCTCTGAATTAAGTGGGAGTTCGTGTAAAAGCAGGAGCTGCTTATTCTTCGAGAGCAACTGTTTTCCCCCTCGTTATTAAGTAGCAGTCGTGTAGAAGCAGTTGCTGCGTACACTTCCGAAGCAGCTGTTTTCACGTTCAGTTTAAAATGGGGTTCGTGTAGAAGCAGGAGCAGCTTACATTTCCTGAGCATATGTTTTTGCTCTCAGTTTTAAGTTGGATTTGTGTAGCTGCTAACCCTTCCGGAGCACCTGATTGTCAGTCTCAGTTTTATGTCGGGTCGATGTGGATGCAGGAGCTCCTTAAATTATACTTCCAGAGCACCTGTTTTCACTTTCAGTCTTAAAAGCAGGGTTCGTGTAGAAGCAGGAATTGGTCACCCTTCTAGGATACCTGTTTTCACTCTCAGTTCTTTAAGTGGGGTTTGTGTTTTGTGTTATTTTGTTAACCTGTTTGCTATTGGTCTGTAATTTGTTCGACTTAAAATTGTAATTCTCAAATATTATATTCCGGCGCATACTTCCATTTGCGCAGAAATCAGAATTGTATTATCATTAGATTATAATTATTTAAATGATGTATGATTTGAAATAAAGCTTTTAAAAGCGTTTGCACATTTAAGTATAGCTATTACACTTTTAAAAATCTTTTTTTTCAAAAAGCATTTACTGTGGAACAAGTGATGAAGGTCTATGGCCTATGATTTAAAGTGGTATCCTTAATTGTGAGATGACAGCTTATTCTGAAATCTATTGTGCTAAGACTCTGCTTTCGTTAGTATGTAAATTATTTTTACCATTATGTTTTAAAATAGGAATTAGAAATAAGCCCACGCTGTGCATCATTTCAGTTTTGATATAGAATAAATGATGCAGATTTATATTTATCTCAAATCTAGGATTTGAAATTTTGAGGTGACATTGTTGGCATTTCATTGTGACATATTGTTCCCAACTATACAGGAGTCTTTTTTGTTTTCGTGACATTAAAAGACTAAGAGTGTGAATAATTATAAATGATTTATCAAAAAAAGAAAAAATAAGCCATAACAAATTATTTTATACTGCTTTTCATTTTAGTTCAAAACTTCACAGAACATTTGGGATTACTCCACCTTCTGGTTACGTTTTCTTGTAATCTTCAATAAAACTCCAATGGCAACGAGAATGCAAATCAATGTCAGAATAACGGACACAACTGCAACAATCGCTATTTCAAACAAAGACATTTTCCTTGTACCTTTTCTCGCTTTCGTTGCACCGATACTATTTAGTCTTTCCTTAGGACCTTCGGAAAACTGTGTTTGTTTACTTTCTGTAGCGCCATTTTTAGCCTTTAGCAATTCAAGGATATTTAAGTCTTTTCCATCATTTGTAATCCATCCTTTAACGTCCTCGACGAAACCTGT